ATTACACACACACACACACACACACACACACACACACTCTGTATATACATATTTCTGTATATCTTCCAAATAGTATATAAAGCAGGCAAGTAAAGTGCCAATAAGTATGTCATCTGCTAATACCAATTTAAAAAAAGAGCCTCTTGTCTCAACATGAAAAGTAAAGGGGACCCTGTACTAACCCCAGAAGTCAGCCAGGCGGCTGTTGCATGAAGATTACATACCCAACATGGAAGGGACTGACTTACAAGGAACAGATGGAAATCAAACTACTACCTCATATCTGTGCTTGCTGCAGCTGTGTTTTTCCTTTTCTTCTCTTTAAATAGACCTCTGTCATTCTGGTTTCATGTTGTGATAAACATTGGAAAATAAACTATTTTTTAACCTCTAGAAAATAAACTCTATAAAAGGACCTTATTAGTATAAACTACATTACAATTTTAACTAAAAATTATGATTTTATTAAATATAACATATTACAATGTACTTTGCTGTCTATTTAAATATAAAAATATTTTTTATAACTCTGAAGAAAATTCAACTTATTTGCTGTCAATTTCCAAATGGATACTGCAAGGAAATCTACTTGAACTATATACATAAAATACATAAAAGTCATAGCTAAAGTTCAAGAAAAAAATAGTTTAATGATACTGCATAAATTCACAAAACTGTAGATAAGCTGCAAGAATTTATGCACACAGTTTATGAATTTCAGGTGAAAATGTGACTTTTTTTTATACTTTAGAGTCCTTGAAGAAGCATAAACCTTTTTTGTTTTTTCAACAAATCTTTAAAAATCTGATGAATGGTGAAATCATTTAAAAAGGTACATTGTTTGCAGTGACTAGGAACAAACTCAGGGCCTACCCTGCTCTGCCCCTGAGCTACATCCCTAACCCCTAAAAGATATTTAGCATAGCCTATATTTAGTAGGTTCACTATGATGATTCAGAATAAACCATTCAGATATACCATTTCCTAGTTCTCAAAGAAAATCCAAGCCTTGTATATTTCCTGCTGCTTTTTGGTTTCTAAAAACTTTTTGATAGTCTATAAGCTAAGGCTCCAATTCTAAACATCATTTAGGGAAGTCCTAATTAAAGCCTGTACCTAAAAGGAAAAACTACTCTATGAACAAACTAGTTACTTTTCTATCAAGTTAACAGACATAACTAGAAAGTACCTAAAGAGTTAGATCCAACCACTTTCAGAACAAAGAAAAAGACACTTCTGAAGACCACCTTTAAAAATCTTGTTTGAGAATGCCAAAAAGCTTTTCCTGTAGGAAACCTGAAGACTTACTTTAACTTTACACTAATTTCACAGGGATTTCAAAAGAAGAATTCTTACAAGGTGGTAAAAGTTTAACATATGCAATGATGCCAGGGAGTAGGCTGTTTTAGATACTGGCAATCGGAAGCAAATGGTCACAAAGTGCAGGCCGGAAAAATACAGCAGTCAAACTCTTAAGTTTTCTTTTAATTTTATCCTTGTTTTTGTTTTTTCACCTCCTTTTCCTTCCTGTGGAAAAACTGAAAGATCATATGCAGGCTACAGTGACAGGCCGCACAGAAGGAACAAGGGCTATCTGGGAATGATGGCCAGGTGTGTTGAAGTTGGGGGCTATCCTTGGGTTGTAACTTGAAGAGTACCACCTGCTAGCATTCCTGTATATTATTATAGCAAAAACTAAAATCTACAAAAGGGATTATCTCAGTACTGACAGAATACTCATCTTATGGTCCCTCTATACTGAATTCTTCACCTAAAAGAAGCTTTCTTGGAAAAAAGGCAGCTTTGTTATGTAGAATGACCACCTCTGACAATCTATCAACACCTCTGTTACTGAAGTTTCCTCTGAGGACCACAATTACCATTTCTACCAAACTACCATGTAAAATATTTTTTTAAAAATTATATGTTAATCAAAATTTCTTAGATTCATACATAAAGAGGAGCTTTAAGGCACCAAGAATTCTTTCCCTACTGGAAATACCTAACAGTCTATCTACTTTATAGTTTTACTTCACAAAACTGTCTCAGTTCTTCTATCAGTGGATTTATTTAATAAAAAAAAATTAGTACCACTTTATTCTCTAGTGTTAACAATCCGAGTGCAGTTATTATAATAAAAGAATTTAAACATACTTTCTTTGAATTTAAAAGGCAACAAGCTTTCATTTCAAAACTAGGCTCTTAAGTACACCCTTTAAAAAGACAACATGGCTTTACAACAACAAAATATTAGGTGAAATATAGGCAGTATTTTTTGAGGACAAACTTTTCCTAAGCAATTTCTGACAAGTAAAATATTATTCACCTTTTTATTGCTTAAGCATTCCACAGGCAGCTACAATTAACTTAAGGAAACCAGAGACTGCCAAACAAACATGTACTCTGTCATCAAGCAGAGGGGTCAGATCACAACACAAAAGTGGCATCAGCTGAAAGCTGATGGACTGTCTCTGATGCTGCCCCTGTTAAGTCCTACAAAGCTACAGCTTTTGGTAGAAAGAGAAAAGGTCCTCCTAGATCCTCCTTAGTATTTCCTGAAGTCCCTCCTAGGACAGTGGGATGCTTTCTCACTGGTCACTATCTTCTTAATGTCTTCACTCTGCAGAGATTTACTTATACTTAATGTATGATTCTGTGTGTGTTTGATATACTGTTTATTTTTCAAATTACTTTTAAGTAGTTATAGAAAGGAGGTTTCAATTCAACATGTCAGTTGCTGAATACAATGGATTTTGATCAGTGTCACACCTTTCATCATTCTTCCCTATCTTCCCCAACCCCATTCATCTCCTCAACTTTCCAAGTTCCATTTCACATACATATATTGAATATTATGACTGCATTATCCCCCGCCCTTCCAATGTATGATTTTAGAGGTCACTAATTAGGTCCACACAAAATCCCTTTAATAGAATTCACCATGTGTAGCAAAACAGCATCAAAAGTAACAGAAATTAGAAGCAACTCATCTAGCTTATCTTAAAGCTTATATGATAACTTTCTCTCTCCTCTGCCTTCATGGCACTATGCTCTCCTTTCCCACCTACACTATACTTACCCTTTTATCATCTCCTTTGCAGCCGTCCTTCTACTGTGATGTCTACTGTCATTGTGGCTCCTAAAAATTCTGTCCTTGATTTTCCTCTTTTTTTTTGTCAGCCATGGGGCTGGGCAGACAGGGCCGGGGCACTGTCCCTGAGCTCCTTTCACTCAAGGCTAGCACTCTATAACTTTGCACATGGCACTACTTCAGGTTTTCTGGTGGTTAATTGGAGATAAGAGTCAACTGGAGTTGAAAGTCCTGCCCGAGCTGGCTCTGAATGGCCATCCTCAGATCTCAGCTTCCTGAGTAACTAGAATTACAGGTGTGCGGCCCCAGTGCCCAGCTTCTTCTTCTGTCTCCCCCCTCCCCCCCGCCACCGCCCTCTCTCCCTCCTCCTCCTCTCTTGTTTAATTTTGAGTGAATATATCAACTTGTAAGGCCCCAAACCTCTTACTCTTAAACAACTACTTACTGGTTATCTCTTCATGCACAGAAGGCAATTCCAAATCCACCTGTCCAAATCAATGGGGAAACCACTTTCCTCTCCTAAATTACCTGACTCAATGGCACAACATGGTAATGAGCTACCACGGCAAACACATCTGAGAGGCCCCATGCACCTCTCTTCCATTCTTCCAGGACCCAGTCCAATCCATTTCACCCTCTAAATAGCCTTGAAACCTACACATATCACATTTCCACTGCCTCCAAGCAGTCAGGTACCAAAGTTACCAAGCCAGCCTCCTACCTGGCTTCCCTGTTTATCATCCTTTAAAAGAAATCTAATGATTTTTCCTTTATCATTCTTCCACCGCCTATGGACGAAGATCTGGCACATCCTAACAGCTGCCTCAACTCCTCAACTATAATCATGCTCTCAGCCATACATTCCTGCCTCACACAGAAGTGGTCTTCTGTGGCTCAAAACCCTGCATTCTTCCTGGAATGGTCTCTTTCCTTCTTTGTTTAAACTAACCAACACAGATGTCCTCGATACCTAAAACACAAGTCACTACCTTGCAGTCTCAGAACACCACTTTCCCTAATCCTAAACCTTAAATCAGATTCTAAGTGCTACTACAATGTTCAGAACTTCTCCAGCCTAGAAAGCAGCATATGTACAGTTCTCCAATACAATACTCAATTACCTGTCTTTTTCCTCTATGTTGTCAGATGGTGTAATCCAGGTGCCTGTTTATTGTGTTGACAATTAAGTGATTGGAGTAAAAATGGTATTTAATATATTTGATATTTGTTGAATGACAGGATTACACAAATGAAAGTCAATAAACTTAAATGCAAATGTAGCTTTAGTTTCTTTCCTCAAATTTACCTTGGAACCTTTACACAGGTAGCTGGCTGGAGCCTGTCTAAGAAGCAACTTCTAGTTAGTTCTTAGCTAACATGTAGCCTTCCTGAGACAGGTTCCCTAGTACATTCTCCTCACCTAATTACCTTTCAGAATATCCTATTGTTTCTCTTTTTATCTCTATCTCAACTTTTTTATCTGGTTAGTTACATGCTTAATATCTTTCCTTTCTTCTGCTAAGTTCATGAGGCAGGCCTTGTGTCTGTTTTATTCACAGCTATCTATGTAGCATTTGGCAACTGCTTGGAACACAGCAGAGGCCCCACATGTATTTGATGTTTGAAACTCACATCCACTGAAGACCAATGATTCCTACAGCATCATGTTCCTATGAAGTTGTAACCATTCCTTAAAATAAACCTTTGTCAACCCTGCTGGTCAACCATAAACCTTAATATATTAAAAAGTTTTTTTTCTTCTATCACTCACTCTTGGGTATAAAGCTAAAGAGTAGAATAGGGGAACAATAAAAACAACCACAAAAAAGACAGTGATGGATATCAAGCAAATCAGGAACATTCCTAAAGTGTACTGACATGACATATAAGTCAGAAAAGAATTCCTTGCCTTTCAGGTCCTTCACATAGCCCTCTTTGCAGCTGTGCATGAGCTGAAGGGTCCACTTGTGCTGGGCTCCAATACACTGCCAAGCAGGGTCACCAGGTGCATGAAGGTCAGACAGATATCTGAGAAAAAGCAAGTTCAGGCTGCTTGTTACAGATGATAGCAGAAAGATGAAGTATCAGTTTTCCAAAAAAAAGTATTATAAATTAGTAAATAACCTGCCAATATGAGTCTTAATTATCAATGAAATTTATTCATATATTTTCTTACAATTGTGATAACAAACCTGTATGTTGTAAAAATTAGATATTTGCATAAGACAATTCAAAATACAATATGTTTGTACCAATGATCCCACCAAATGATACTACCAATTTGGTGAAAACTTTTCTTTATACCTACATTTAGTTCACAGAGTGTTTCCACTTGGTTAGCAGTTATTACATTAAACAGGTGGGAGACATCAGCACATGGGTTTTTTTTTTTTTTTAATTTCAACTTAAAATTCCTATCTGGCTTGAAAAGTCCACTAGATGGCAGTATGGCACTGTTTACCTAATCATGGGTTGCTGAAATTTAAGTCCACTTTCTGTATATAAGCAGATTTGATAACAACACGCACTGACTTCTAAAGTGTAAATTAATTCAGGTCTGAGAGAATATTTCTCCAGAAGACATAATGCGAATGGGTGTTTTCTTACTTTTTTAAATTAGGTTTTTTATTGTGAAAATACTGTACAAAGGGGTTACAGTTACATGAGCAAGGTAATGAGTACATTT